GTATCATATCACCCCTTACGCCCCTTGGCAAGGGGGATTTTATGAGCGACTAATCAAATCAGTCAAGCACGCCTTATACAAAGCTCTGCGTACCATGCCGATACCAACTGTTGATGAACTTGCTACTTTTCTGACTGAAATTGAAGCCTGCTTGAATTCGAGGCCATTGACGTATCAAGGCGCAGAATTAGAAGAGTTCAACATACTGCGCCCCATTGATTTCCTGCAAAAAGAAATAGTTTTATCCCTTCCGAAAGCGCTAACCCAATCTCAAGACAGTGATCCCAACTATTTGCTTCCTCAAGAAGTCCAAGCGCTAAAAACTCAGAGAGAAGCTGAAAAAGCATTAGAAAATTCACAAAGGCGCGTAGAAAAATTCTGGAAAATATGGAAAAATCAATATCTCACAAATTTGCGCGAGAAACATAAAAAATGTATAGGATCAAAGCGCTCAGGACAAGAGACGCCAAAAGTAGGAAGCGTAGTACTAATTACAGATCCAGTTCTACCGCGAAATGAATGGAGGTTGGGCCGTATCACGAAGCTTTTGAGTGGTACAGATGGTCAAGTACGCGAAGTGGAATTAGTAACATCCACTAAGAGAAAAATGCACCGCCCTGTAAATTTGTTAGTTCCTCTTGAGCTAGAAGAGGGGGAAACTGATAGTTCTACTCCTCAAGAACAAAAAGAGTTGCATGATTCGACTCAAGACATTCCATCGGCACACAAAAACGTTAGGTATGATTTGCGCTCAAAAAACCCTGTACAGTATACGGAAACTGTCACAACAAAGGCTTTCACCACAGCAAAACCCAAACCTTCAAAATACTGGTTCTTGTTTCACCTAATGATCTTATTCATGCAATTCAACCTTGGAAACAGCGCAGCAGAAACAAAAATTTTGTGTGGTGAAAATGGCGCCATAGTCAATTCTTCAAAAAACGCCAGCCTCGAAATTTGCGCAGAAACATATTGCGTAATGCGCAATAATGATGCGACCAATCCACAGGTTATAAGACCTCCAGCAGAAATGACACTTCACGATTATCTGGTAACAGTCAAATGGAGCGATGAGGGGCATCTTTACACCATCCAAACCCGCTGTCCCGCGCTCGATTTTTGCAAAAACATCGATTGCACAATTTGCGCTAGGCTTTTGTTCAACCCTGAATGCTGGCCAAAAGGAGCAATTTTTATGTTGGCGTTTTTGCTATACATCTTCGCCACTACAATGTATTCCCTTTTTTGCATAGCTTCGCTGATAGGAAAAACGCTCAGGATCATAATTGGCATAACAGCGAAAATCTTTACTGTCATTTTGCGCAAAATGGCCAAATGTATAAGCTATGCACTCAGAAAAAACAGACGTCGACAAACTACAAGAGCGATGAGAATTGCAGCGGCATTAGCGCTGATGACGATATTGATAAAACAGGAAAAAATCGGAGTACTCTCCTGCCAAGAAATCGACGTACTCGAGCACCATTCCACCAGCTGTGTAATTTCGAGAGAAAAGGAAACTTGCAAAACCAGCATAACCGAAGTATTGAAGCTTAATTCGTTTAAACAGGAGGCATGTTTGCGCCTGGTCAAAAACTCATCTTTAGTTGCAAATGTAAAAATTCGATGGCACGGTCTGAGATTAACTTGCGCAAAGGAAACCGAATTTTTCACGCGAGCAACTAAGTTGAGCGTTATCGACAGCAAACGATGCCCACATATGGGCTCTTGCACAGGAGCAAAATGCGCTGTAATAAACGAGTCCACCTTATTACCGGAATTGCGCCAAGGAAATCAGTATCCAGGCAGAACAGGGTGCTTGGAATCATGCGGTGGGTTAGGCTGCGATTGTTTTTATCCAAGTTCTGGATGTTTATTTTACCGCGTTTATGCCACCCCACAAAATTCCGAAATATACGAAGTCTTTCGCTGTGCGCAATGGAAAGAAGAGGTAAAAATGGAAGTGCTCGTAGAAGAACTCAGATTAGGAAAAAGAAAATTTGTAATTTCAACCATTCCAAATATCCCGGTAACACTTCCTATGGTGAAAATTACGTTAACCCTTTGCACCATCCCACCTACACCGATCACTACCTACGAATTCGTGACCAATGGTGCAGAGACAGCGCTATGGCCGAAAGAAATTGAACCAAACTTACGCTGCGAAACTAGAGAAAAAGCCATTGCCTTAAATTGCTCATTCATTGACAACTGCAGATGCGAAGGCGCAGAAAATAAGGTCAACTGTCAATGCTCAGAACCTCAAATCCAGGAAGAATTTG